AAACGAAGATTATTGTTTGTAGGAGTAGAAATTTGTCCAAATGACTAAGTAAGAGTCATACTTCATACGAGAGAATAAAAATGTTTTATCTGAGTTTGCCTGATTTAGGAATTTACCTAAAACTTGTCAGGAATTACGGGTTTTAAACACCTGTTTAAGCTTGAGTGGAGAAGAAATTTTCATGTGGAAATGAAACCATAAGTCAAAACAAGTTCAAACTGGTATGGTTAAAGTTAAAACATCCTCTAAAGGATGAATTATAAACTTCAACCTAAGACATAATTAGAAAAGCTATACATTTTACCAAGCACATAATAATATCTACACTAGTGCATACAGCTGATCATTAATGAATCTGTGAAATCATCTGAGCTATACTTTTAGCGTAATGTCAATGTCACATCCCTACATATTTTTAGTTATGTTAAATATTTATGTTGAGAACACAAACCTGGTTTGAAGTAGGAAACTTAAAAGATAAACGTTGTTGTCGTTCACTACACTAGTACTCAGGGCTCTAACGAGAGTGACTACATTGTAGAAAGTTTATGCTTTAATTAGCATAAACATTGTGTTACGTCACAGCAATACAAATTGTTATATAAAACAGATTTGTGTGGTTTATAACATAATTATTGTAAGGTTATAAACCTTTTTTATTTGTATTTTCGAACAACACAAATGACACATGGTTTTCAATTGAAAAGTTGTATTACTTTCATACATTGTTTTGTTGTGAAGTCATTCTCTTTCAACGAGCTTCGAATTCAACCGTTCTGGAGTAGCGAGCGCATTGTGAAACGAATCATCTGAGGTAACTTTTTAACATGTTTTTATGCAACTGTAACTGTTAATTCATGTTATAAAATACCTTAATTTTCTACTCTTATTATGTAGACTGTTCAGAAGGTATTTCGAACCAAATCACAGCATGCGATCCAAATTGCATTTGATGCAAAACATCGTGTAGACACGTTGACACAGCTCAACCGTAGTTTATATTCAATTGTGCTATTATACATTACACGTTGATAATATAGGATTAAAATTGACCTTTTGTGCAGGCTTATAAATTCTTTGCCATAGTTACCTCATAGGTAAGCTTATAAGTATTTATCATTTTGTTTAAGTATTACACTATCGTACAGTGTGTGTAATGCAACAATAAAACATATCTGATTTTTTTGGGAATGGAAAGTAACAATTACAGCTTGACAGTTTCGCATTATAGCAGCATGGTTTAAACATTATGTTCAGGTTAAAGGCTTATATATATATATATTTTATTTTTTGCAATTTTATTTTTTCAATGGCTCCCCAGTGGCACAGCGGTATGTCTGCTGACTTGCAACGCTAGAAACCGGGTTTTGATACCCGTGGTGGGCAGAGCTCAGAGAGCCCATTATGTAGCTTTGTGCATAACTACAAACAAACAAACATTTTTTCAGCGAGATACAATATGTGAGAAAAAGTGCACGCATGCATGCTCTGTAAAGTCCACATTGACTATTTTGTTGTTTTTCGTAATTCGTAGTACATACTAGAGGGATTTATATATTTTGACAATAAAGTTAGAAAAACATGACCTTTACTCTCCAGAAAATGACGATAAAAACATTTTTTATTTCAACCTCAATGTTTTTGTTGTAGTAATCCACCTAAGATATATAAACCAAATACTTTTTCGCCATAAAATGTAGGTCTAGGTTCAAATATTCTCTTTTTGTTTCAATTTATTCTCTAATTTTGGCTGTTTTCAAAAATCCCAATTATGAAGAAAGTGGTTGACTTTCAATGTGACATTTGCCTTTGAGCTACATTAATCAATCGAAGCCCCTTCAGCGTGACCTTGACCTTTGGGTTACAGTAACCAAAGGTTAAATTAAGTGAAAGTTAACCAATCAGTCCTTAAGAAACATGCAACATTTGTATCAAATATGTTTAAAATCAGATAAAAATATTTTGAGTTATACTGTTCATACACACACACAAAGAGTGGTGAAAACAATGCTACCGCCAACGGGCGAGGTTAATCGAAATTAAAAAAACCATGAAAAAGGAAGGTTTACTTTTCTAAAACTTCGGGTTATTGGGTTCTCTTGGAGTGAATTTTGAAACAGTAGCGAATTTGGTATTATTTTTTATTAGTAAATATTTTATGAATGACAATTTTTAGCTTTGTGATGTTAGCACAACTTCAAGACGTATAACTTATCAACAGACTTTCATTCTTACACAGTACTGAACAGTAATTTAGCACTGATTTTACTAATTTAATTTGTTCTATATAACTTAATGTATCATTTATAGCATCAACATCTGTTTTTCTCGTTTGAAATATAACTGGCATTAAATTTTCATATTTCACTCCATCATAAAATACGTTGAATTAAAATTTAACTATAAGATACATAGTGAAATCGACTGGAAACCTCCCTCCCGTTAAGCACTAGCAATTCTACATCAGTATATCGTCTATTATCTTAAAGATGTAAAACTTATCAGCAGGCTTCCATTCTTACATATTTCTATTTCGATCTAATCAACGAATGTCATTCAATTATCATTTTAGGGAAAACTAATATATAGTTGTATAATCATTGCCATGGAAAATGAAGTCCAATATGTTTTTATTCATCCTTCCCAGTCGTAATTATGCATATTTCTAGCCCCCCAGTGGCACAGCGGTATGTCTAAGGACTTATAACGCTAGAATCCGGGTTTCGATACCCGTTGTATGCAGAGGACAGATAGCCCATTGTGTAGCTTTGTGCTTAATTACAAACAAACACAAAAATCACATTTCTAAATTTCTTTTATTAATGATTTATTAATACTATTCGTATTAAGTCTTCAAATTTCCTACATTTTAAACTGAACAGTAATTTAGCACTGATTTTAATTTTCTATCTACTAATTTAATTTCTTCTATATAACTTAATGTATCATTTATAGAATCAGTATCTGTTTTTCTCGTTTGAAATATAACTGGCACTAAATTTTCACATTTCACTCCATCATCAAATACGTTGAATTAAAATTTCAAGATGAGGAAGAATGGTAGCTTTGGTTCTTTTTGCTCTTATTTAAAAAAATAAAAAATATTTAATTCTGCTTGTTTTGAAGGATTGATTTTTCTTCATTATATTCTAATTTTATTGTTTGATTCATTACCTTAGTTTTCATATTTAATGGAGATTTCTTTAACTTCGTTTAACTTTAACTTGGGTTTCGTACTTAGTCATAATCTCCATATTTATTAACTAACTATTACTAACTCCAACTATGATTACGAAACTCAAACAGTTGTAATGCTCTGTTCATAAGCTAGTATTAAAACATAAATAATTATCACTGTTGTATTCATAAGCTATGGTCCAAACCCAAACAATCCTCATTAATCTATTCATAAACTAGGATTAAAACATAAACAACTATCCGTATTCTATTCATAAGTTACGGTTCAATACAAACAGTTATCACTTCATAATTCTAAGGTAAGATAAAACTGTTTCTTATACATGTTTCTGCTTTCTTTTCACATTACACTGTAGAACACAACAAAGTTTCTTCTAGTTTCATATGTTTTCTTTAAATGTACTCTATAAGATACATCAGAGTTCATTCGCTTATATCCGTTATCTTTAAATACAACATTGTGAAGTACATGGCAATATGACCAAGTTGTTTCTATATTATGTATAAAACATGGTATTACACATTAACATTCCTTCATGTAATGGATGGCAAGCTCGAAAACTGAAGATACATGGTATTACACGTTAACATTCCTTCATGTAATGGATGGCAAGCTCGAAAACTGAAGATACATGGTATTACACGTTAAGATTCCTTCCTGTAATGGATGGCAAGCTCGAAAACTGAAGATACTTAACCGAAGAATCGAGTTGCTATTTCCAGGATATGAGCAAAAACTTATCCCATTAGGCCTGACTTCTATAGCAGGATTTTGTTGTACTTTAATCTTTTTTCAGGATATGAGCAAAAACTTATCCCATTAGGCCTGACTTCTATAGCAGGATTTTGTTGTACTTTAATCTTTTTTTCATTTTAAAACTTGATATTGTATATTTTATTGCCTAGTATCATTTCGGCACTTTTTAAACAATTTACGTGTATGTTTTTTTGTAGCAGTAACATGCATGCAAACGTTGAAGCTCCTTCATGTAACATGATGGTAATAGGTGCATCAGCCTGCCTCATCTTGAAAGTACAAATGTTAACACTGAAAGAAATTCATTTAGAATAATTTTCAAAGATATTTAGCTAAAAACGCTTGGTTGCTTGTTTGCATGTCCAGATTTTGTAATTTTATCCTGGTCGTTTGATGTTGGAAAACGTTTCCAGCCCATAGAAGCAATTCTCAGCTTTTATAAATATGTACCTAAAAATCCATTTGTGATAAATACAGCTGTACAATTATAAATATTTACATTAATTTTTTTCAGCAACAGAGTCATTTATGAAGCAATGAGTATGAAATTTTTTGGATATTTACATAATCTGGATGGAGCTACGAACATGTGATTAGTGACTTTTTATCTTCATATCTGCTACATTATCATGTACTTACGTAAAGAACATTTTCATTATCATTTCAAACGCATCATCATCTTATTTTGCTTTGTATACTGAGCTACTCGACTTGCGGAGAACCGTGAATTGCGACTAGTGGTGCACTCTCGCTATCTGTTAGAGATAATTAGTAAAAACTACCATTGTGTACGCAAATCGTTTGAGAGTATTGATAAGTGTAATCTTTCAGAGTGAGTAAAGTGCAAGGGATTCTGATAGTTTACTCGTTGTTTGTGTATTTATTAAACCCTATTATCTGTAACTTATATTCTATCATACAAAATAGGCTAATAATAATGTGGACATCTAAAAACTACTGGTTTATTTTAGCTTTCTTGGAAATTATGTAATATTTGGGAAGCGTTTCAGAATTTCAGAGTATTTTTTCTCTTTCTTTATCCCAGATTGATGAAGATGAAAACAGATCCCTGGCATTTTGGATAAAGAACAGGAGTTGTCTGGATCAAGAAATGCCCTTAAAACACACACAAAAAAGTTAAATTATTGACCTGTATTCTCGAGTTAATCGTTCTAGATAATAGTCTGAATGAAAAATACAATCTGTGTTTGAGGAGAGATTAAAGATTCCACAAGTAGTCTTTATCCGATCATCAGTATTGTGGATTCCTGTACGTAAAGCATACGTGGCTTGAAAGACGTGATCATAGCCATTAGATTTAAGAATACGATAAAGTATAAGATATAATGTACAGTTGACAAATCGTTTCAACATACTGAAATTGACTGGAAATCGTCCTCCCGTTAAGCACTAGCAATTCTTCTTCAGACTAGTATGCCGATTCTAACAGAAGATCGGACCAAATGGTTAACCTCCACGAGTTGGATAGTGCTCATTTCTTTGGTCATTTTTACCACTCCAGTAGAAGCAGATAATTCTACTAAATGCAAAGAAGGTTTAATATTTCCGTTATGGTTACCTAACCATAATCTTAGTACTGGAGACGTCGTTGCCAGGGGGATCGTCTATTTCATTGGTTTGTGTTACATGTTTGTGGGGGTGTCTGTCATCGCCGATCGATTTATGGCATCTATTGAAGTCATCACCTCAAAAGAAAAAGAGGTAGTAATTAAAAAACCAAACGGAGAAAAGCAAACTATCACTGTAAGAATATGGAATGAGACTGTCTCGAATTTGACCTTAATGGCTCTCGGATCGTCTGCACCAGAGATTTTATTGTCAATAATTGAAGTGTATGGACAAAACTTCGAGGCGGGAGAGCTGGGACCTGGTACCATTGTGGGAAGTGCAGCTTTCAACATGTTCGTTATTATAGGATTGTGTGTTTACGTGATTCCCAACAACGAGTGCAGGCGGATCAAACACCTAAGGGTTTTTTTTGTGACTATGATCTGGAGTGTGTTTGCATACATTTGGCTTTACTTGATCTTGACTTGGTTATCGTATGGTGTGATCGAAGTTTGGGAAGGATTGACCACTTTTCTCTTCTTTCCAGCAACTGTACTTACTGCTTATATCGCCGATCGCAAGCTTTTGATTTACAAATTTCTTTCGAAGAAGTACAGAATGAACAAGAGAGGAGTCATTGTGGGAGGGGAAGGAGAAAATGTGGAGATGCAAAGTGCGTCTAAAACTAATCACATAGTCGAGGGAGGTTTTAAAGTGTTTGAAGAAGAAGAGAACGACGAGATTCGAGAATTTGAAGAACATAGAAGAGAATATATTAACATTCTGCGTGAGCTCCGACGGAAACATCCACACCGCAACATGGAGGACATAGAGGTGATGGCTCGCGAGGAAATTCTTAATAAAGGGCCTAAGAGCAGAGCTTTCTATCGAATACAAGCAACAAGAAAACTAACTGGAGGAGGAAACCTTATGAAAAGAAAGGTGGAGAAGCAGGAAATGAGGAAAGAGCTAAGTGAGGAGCAAATTGTAAAAGACGACAAAGTTTATATTTTCTTCAATCCTGGTCACTACACTGTAATGGAAAATGTTGGAGAATTCGCAGTTAACGTTACTAGGGAAGGGAATATGAGTCATACAGTTTGCGTTGACTTTCAAACAGAGGACGGCACTGCCGAAGCTGGCTCTGATTACGACCCAGTTGCAGGAACGCTTGTTTTCCGACCCGGGGAAGCACAAAAACATATATTTATCTCAGTTGTTGATGATGACATATTTGAAGAAGATGAACACTTCTACGTTCGTCTTAGCAACCCTCGATACTTAGGATCTGACGTTGGATTTGGAGGAATGAATGGGTCATTGGGGAGATTACGACAGTGTCCACTCTTACAGCTGGCAGCACCTTCTATAGCAACAGTCATGATACTGGACGACGACCATAGCGGCGTGTTTGGCTTCAGTGAAAACCAGTTTGAAATTGCCGAATCTTCCGGCACGTTTGATGTTCCTGTGTGTCGATACAGTGGAGCCAGGGGCCGAGTGGTAGTACCATTCAGGACCCTAGATGGCAGTGCCAAAGATGGAGTTGACTATGAAAGTATTGAGGGCGAGATTATTTTTGATAACAACGAAACAATGTAAGTTGATTTAATTCTCTGTAATTTTAAATTATTAAGTTCTAAAAATATGAAGACTGATACGGTCTGAGTTTGTTTGTTGATAAGCACAAAACTACTTAATAGACTATCTGTGCTCTTCCCCCCTAGGTATATAAACCCGAATTTTAGCGTTATAATTCCTCATGGTTACCGCTGAGCTAACGGGGGTTCTTTATTTGAGTGATTCCAAAATGACTAGTTCAAATATACAGAAATCAAATTAAAGATGCAGGGATATTGGACGTTCTAAATCAAAATATATATGACTAATATTTTACTTAAAAACACATTCATAAAGTCTCACGGAGAATCAGCATTAAATTTATGAACTTACAACGTTAAAATTCGAAGTTCAACCCTTCCACGGACATGGCGCAACTACGTCACTATAAACCTTTGTACAAAGAAAGAACAACAACAATTATAATATCCATAATTAACTTCAAAATGCTAGAAAGATAATTTATTTATGACAAATGTTATTATGTTATATTATTATATTTCTATTAGGATCAAAATAGAACGAAACTTTCTATATAACATGTTTGTTTCTACATGATATATATTATTAGGTTATGTATATAATATATTGATCTTTAAACTTTGTATATAACATGCTTGTTTCTACATGATATATATTATTGGTTTATATACATACTATATTGATCTTTATTTAGGAAAAAACACCACATCATTTATTGGCGCCACAGTTTCTATCTATTGATTCACAGGATAGTTCGTCTGCTCGTACAAAGACAAAGCTCCCTGTGTTTCGCATATAGCACTATTTAACATTATCTGAAGTGTAATGGACAGTCTGTCCACCTGAAAAATAAAAATAAATCCTATTTAATGGATAATGCACCAGACAGTGGATCTTATGTTCCTTGGTTCGTGTCCCTTTATATCGAGAAAAATATAAATAAATCGCACTCTTCACTTGGTGACCATGAGCGCGTTATAACGGTGATGGTCAAATTCCCCTACTCAGTCTCACAAGGGTAGCTTAAGAGTTGAGGTTAGAAAATGTTGACATTTCTGACCTCTCTCTTTAGTCCATCACTTCAAAATTAGTGACAGCTAGCGCAAATAGCCCTGGTATAGCTTTGCACAAATATCAACAAACAAAAAAACTATATATAGCTGTTTCATAAGATAACATATATATATATATAAATACACCCGACACGAATAGAAATATATATATAAACCTTCTGATTTATCATTCTAATCTTTGAAAGATGATTTAATAAGCGAAATATATCAAATAACATTTGACTGAGTAAAACTTGGAATAATGAATATCACAATTCGGCCGAGAAAAAGCAACATATCTATCACGCCCTTTTATTTGTTTGTTTTTTAATTTCGCATAAAGCTACACGAGGGCTATCTGAGTTAGCCATCCCTAATTTAGCAGTGAAAGACTAGAGAGAAGGCAGCTAGTCATCACTACCCACCGCCAACTCTTGGGCTACTATTTTACGAACGAATAGTGGGATTGACCATCACATTATAATGTCCCAACAGCTGAAAGGGCGATCATGTTTGATGGGACGGGGATTCGAACCCGCGACCTTCAGATTGCGAGTCGAGCGCCCTAACTTTCAAAAGGATATTAAAATCTTTAGACTTATTTATCAATGCACTATTACCGAATGGTTCGTGTTTTATTCCTACTTATTCTCTGCTAGTATCTTGCCACAATCTATCATTTTTAATTATCTGGTGGAATTAATGTTATGTGATTTTTACCATATAATTCAGTTTTTGACATTTATTAGCTTAGCTAGTTCACGTATAGATATATCTATTTTGTCACTGATATGCTTTTATTCTTAAGTTGTAAAAATAATAATTTATATGTAAATACAGTCCCGTTACGAAGTGTTTATTCTTTGCTTTAGGAACAGAAAGTATTATTAAGGTGATTGTTGAGACAAAACAATACAGGCTGGATGACTGTTTTCGAAAAAATAACGATTAATTAAGACATATAAGGAGAATTAATGCCTCATTATCTCATCATGTATTTTGTTTCTCCTATGGTATTATCTCTAGTATTTCATTTATGATTGGTGGTAGTTCGTGAAACGGAATTATGAAGTTGGTTTTGGACAGTGCAGGAGAAAGGCCGATATTTCTGTAATCTGAGAAAAATGTTTAAAGTAAAAGTATAAAGCCACAAAAATACTTTTTGAAATTTCTGAGATAAGTCTAAAGTTATTCCCTCAGACTACGCATGTGGTAGGAAATACATAATTTACCATGGTAACAGTGAAGTGTGCTAAACTGTGACGGAAGTTGATCTACATTACAAAGTCCTTCTATCAAGCGAGGCACAAATCATCATAGCAGGGGGAGTTTGTATATTTGTTTTAGAGCAAAGCCACATTGAGCTATTTGCTGTGTCCACCGCGGAGAATCGAACACCGGGGGACAGGAGGGAGAAAAAAAAAGTAAATACAGTAGTGATAGTATAGACAATAATCAAAAGTCAATAATCAAGTGGATAGGAGACAATCATAATATAAATATAAAATTTTGGGATACAAGGGAAAACTAAGTTTAATGTGATGGGTGAAATGGAGGCGACAATAACCATATAAAAAGCGATACCAGTACTAGAGGTTAAAAGTTATGGCTTAAAAGAAGCTAACCTGAAGTTAAAGTTGAAACTAAAATGTGCATCTTTACGTAATGTTGAAAGAGGATAGATAAACTGATCTAATAATTCATAAGTTTTCTTTCAAGCATAATCTAAGTAAAAATATTTCTTTAACATTTCCTAGTTTGTTAGTAAGATAAACGTAGATCTTAAATGCCTCGCTATACTTATATGTGGCTGAATAACTTATTAGACCATCTTGAATGCAGTTACTACTGTAATTTCTAAATCGGATATTATCACCTGTAAAATAAATATGACAGGAAAAAAAAACATATTGTTTATAACGCATTTGTAATATAAAGTAGAGTTCATTTAGTATTTGGTGTCTTTAGTACGTTTTAAACAGCTAAAAGCTGTTACTCCCACACCCATTATTTCACTTAAAAATGTATATACATCTACACTAGAAAGGGTTCGGTAAATTATATTAAAAGGATATTAAATATAAAAATCAGCAAGCCGCATGTCAACCACAGCCGATCTAAAAGTTGTAGTGGAAAGGAATGTATCAGAACTACATTTCGACATTGTTTGGCGTTTGGAAAGCACATTGCTCAAACCACACAATTCGTGTTGGTTCATACATGGTTCACAGTTTCATCTGGTTTGTTATAAACATAACATACATACATCAGATATTGCTTGGTTTATTAGGTTTGTATTAAAATAAATGGTTCATTAGTTATCGGTGTTTTACTGCGCACATAAAAAAAATTCATAATTATTCAAGTAACATTTCGGTTATAGTGTTTAATATTTAGCCAACCTTATGGTTGTCATTATATTATAATTAAATGTACTTGCACTTTCAGTTGTAACTAATGAGTATACAACGAAAATGCTCCTTCAGAGAATAAATGACTAGGTAACTAAGTTTCATGATTATTAATTAAACACCATTTCTGAAACACACTTTGGCACCTTTCTGGTTAGGTCTAAAAATAATTTGTGTGGAGAAACTTGATTGATTAGCGATACAAACCTTGAGTGCTTTAGAGTAAGGTAAATACAACTATAGACACTGCATAGCTGTCACTTATCACTTGGCTGTAGGTGGCGTTGTTTGTACTATGAAATCATGTTGCAGTTTTTAGAAAAGAAACGTTGCAGTGCCTATTGAGGTACGAAAATCAAAACCACAGATAAACACCCACATTATTAAACAGGTAGAGTACTGCAGTTCTAAAACTGCTCTCCACCTGTCAGACTATCCTGATATTTTCTTTTTTAGAGATAATAGCGAAATGATGCTTTAATGTATTCAAAATTTCAAGTAATAGCTGGAATTTTATTGTATTAATGGTAAATCAAAGCGATGGGATGAATACAACAATTCTAATAAAATGTTCTGGTAGAGTATAGAGTTAATATAATACGTTGCGACTTTAATAAGTTCCTGGGATATTACGTTAGATTAGGTTTATGACAAAGTACTGGAAAATACATAGGGATATAATTCTGAGAAAGAACTAAGCTAATATCTTTCTGATGAAGAACTGGAGTTTGATAAAGACCATAATTATGATAAAAGCTTTTGTGATGATGCAAAGTGAAGATTTTTAACGACATTTTGAGGTACTACAGAAGGTTATGGTCATGTTAGCATATTTGAATAATGTAAAATGTTATAGCTTATAGCATATTTTGGTAAAACTGATATGTTTAGTTTTGATAACATATATGGACGATAGTTTATAGAAACTGATTTTTTTTAAATTAGCCTGTTATAAAAATAACTGAAAAATGAGGTTGTGTAAATGTAATACATATATGTTAAATAATATGTCATACGTTACACGCAGGAAAAGAAACTCAAACGTTTGTAAAATTATCTATTTATACGCCATTAAATACTTATACTAAGGATCAGATAAGAGTTAACAGTAGTAAGATGCTAAAGATTAAACACTGCAAGAAGATACTAAACGTTAGTTAAGGATAAACAAGATACTAAACGTTAGTTAAGGATAAAGACGATAGGAAGATACTATCGTTTGTAATTAAGAACAAAGCTACACAATGGGCTATGTGTGCTCTGCTCACCACGGGTATCGAAACCCGGATTCTAGCGGTGTAAGTCCGCAGACATACCGCTGTGCTACTGGGGGGGGGATACTAAACGTCAGTTAAGGATAAATAGGGTAAGAAGATATTAAACGTTAGTTAAGGATAAACACTGCAATAAGATACTAAACGTGAATTGAGAATAAACAGGGTAACAAGATACTAAACATTATTTAAGGATAAACAGTATAACAAGACACTAAACGTTAGTTAAGGATAAAAACGGTAACAAGATACTAAACGC